TGAGGGTAGGGATCCCACTCCTGACCTTTGATGGGGTGCTGCTGGTGCCAGCGCCAGAGGTTAGGAGCTTGGGAGTGCTCTTGGATGCCTCCCTTATGATGGAGGCCCAAGTAGCAGCCACTGCAATGTCAGCCTTCTACCATCTTTGGCTGATTAGGTAGTTGGTTCCCTTCCTCGAACACAATGACCTGGCATCAGTGATCCATGCAATGGTCACCTTGAGGCTGGATTACTGTAATGTCCTCTACATGGGGCTGCCCTTGTCCCAAATTCATAAGCTGCAGCTAGTGCCGAACGTGGTGGCCAGGCTGTTGATGGGCCTCCCCAAGTGGAAGCACATCCAGCCTGGGCTGAAAGCGCTGCACTGGCTGCCAATAGCATACCGAATCCGTTTCAAAGTGCTGGTACTTACCTTTAAAGCCCTATATGGCCAGGGTCCGACTTACCTGAGGGACTGCCTTTCCCCACACAGCCACAGCTTTGGGAGTCTTTCTTTTCATTTGAATGCCCTTTTGCTCTTGAACAGAGAAAATTCTTTTCAGTACCTGTCCTCTATGAACACCAGGGAACCCTTGTTTCTTTCACATAATTTCTTTGCTTCTGGAAATGTCCCCAATGTTTTTCCACTTAAGTAACAATAGAATCCATGCCTTTTCCAACCCTGTCAGTAAAAAAGAATTATTGACCTCATGTTAGTGCAACAATCAATAGCTGACATCCACATACAGCCTCATGTCCTAAGTCTACAAGTGTGTACAGTGAAGTAATCCCCATAAAAACTTCTTCACAAGTCTGCCAGCTGGATGGAATTTTTTTAAAAAAACTATAGCTGTGATAAAAAAAACATTTCCTGATTTTAAAATTATTTAAGCTTTTTTCAGAGGACATGCAGAGCTGAATGAATGTGATGAATGGAAGGCAGACAGAAGAGGTAAATGTGACAGCCCCCGCTCCTGACTGTCACACCTGTATTTGATAGTCTGATACGTCCTGCAGACAGATGCTTGTATGGTTTTCTTTGTGTGATCAGGAATCCTTAAAAGCAGGGCTATTTTGGGGCAGAAACGCACAGGAATGGAGTTCCGGCTGGCTCCCGAGTTGGCCACACCCGGCCGGAACTAATTAGCATAACAGGCCACACCCAACAGCAGAAACTCATTAGGATTGGCTACATTAGGGATGTGTGGCCTAACACGCAAAGGAGTTCCTGCTACAAAAAAAAGCCCTGGGTTTTGACAACAAACAAGGTAAACAGAATAAGAAGCAAAAGTTGGGTGTGGCTGGATGACCAGACTTCTGGTAAAATGGGGTGTGTGGCCTAAGCTAATGAGCCGTGCTGGCAGGTTGGTGGCCTAATATGCTAATGAGTTTCTGCTGTTGGGTGTGGCCTATTATGCTAATGAGTTCTGGCTGGGCTTTTTCTACAAAAAAAGCCCTGCTTAAAAGTACATTCAATTCAAAGTATTCATTCAACTATAAATGAATCTGAAAAGGACCTTTGTACCTTTGACATAAACAATATCATTTCACTTTAAATTTACATGCTCTAGTTTGACTTCTTTGGGCCCCTGCCACACAGGGGGAAATTGATGCAGGCAAAGTGCGGCTTTTGAAAGCCGCACCAAAAGAGACACACGGCGGCGGGATCACACAGATCCCGTGAGCCACCGCGCAGTTGCTCCTCAGCAAGATCAGATGCCGGGGAGAAAGCCACGGAAGGGAGCACGAGGCTGCCGGCTGCGCATGTGCGCGCATGCGCAGTTCAGCTGGGAGCCTCAATTGCTCCTGCAGACGGCCGTGCCGGCAATCCGACGGCCGCGCTTGCTGCGGCCTTTTAGGTAAGACCTGCTCTTTAGCAGGTTCTTTTTTGCTGCTCATTTTTGGCCTGATGGGCCAGATTGGGGACGGGTGCGCACCGCTTCCCAGATGTTGCGGTTTGATCATGCCCGTTTGCTGTGCCCCCCCAATCCAGCCCTCTTCCGGCCCTAAACCTCCTGTGTGACCGGGGCCTTGGTCATCTTCTTTGGACATGCTATGTGAAGGACAGTGTAATGTCTTTTTGCACAAAGCTCATCAATACTCCAGAGGGGACAGTAGAGCCAGTAAGGTGGATAGGTCAGTTTCCTACGTATCCTACTTCTCTTCTGCTGTTGTTGTTTTGTCTGCACAGGATACTGTTCTCAGGGACTTCCTTCCAGCTACTTCCTTCTCCTGCTGCCTTGCTCTGTCTCCCCTCCAACCTCCATGAGAGAAATATGTGCTCTCAGAATCTCTCTACATCTTCTAAAAAAAATTAAATGAGGGGGAAATAGACCTTGGACATTGGTGAAGGGGGGGCATATGGTGGAAGGTCTAGAGTGGATGGAACAACCTTGAAGTTGGGCAGGGAGTGACCTTCAAGGGGTGGCAAAAGGATGGGGGGGATCAGAGGGAATCTGTACACTTTTGAATTACCTTTGGCTTGGAAGTGAAACAAGGGGGAAACTGGCACAAAAGCACTCTTAGAAAACCCAGGAAAACAGCGAACAAAAAGCAAACTGAGGACTGAAGGGAGGAAAATCAATGCGGAATTAGAAAGAAAACCCAATGGGCACACACGGTGAAAGCGAAGGAAAACACCTGTCCATAATAGGCTCTAGAGTAAGTAGTAAAGGTTTCTTAGGCCAGTAGCACAGCCCTTTAGGACAAAAGTGGAACAAAGTCTCTTCCCTGGCAAGCAGAGAAGAGTGAAGAAGTCATGAAGACTGAACCTGATATGTAGAGGAAGAGAGTGGTTTGGTTGTTGCAGGGAGACAGGGAGAAGCAGGATGCATCAAGTGGAAGTATTGGAGGCAAGCTTTTACTGCTTACCTCAAATATAAATAAAAAACTGGAACCACCTCTACTTCGTTTAGGAAAACCCACCTAAAACCTTTTGGAACAGTAACTGCTGAAATCTTCACAAAAACAACATAATTTGAAGATGAAGCATCAACTTTGTGAGGCTAAGCAGTTTTAGTAAACTTCTAAACAATTTACTTCTGGCTTACATTCTGGCAGCCTGGGTCAGCATCTTCTGGTTCAGAAAGAATTTCCAAAGCTTTTCTTTTACAGATGTAACCATATTCCTCTTGACAGAAAGTATCCACCCAATATCCATTCTGGAAACGGAAGAGTGAAGACATGATTCTCAGTGAAGGACACAGCGCTCCTTATAATTTGAACTTTGTTTCCATTTCCCAGTGCTTGATTTTTTTCTTCTACCCATACAGGGCGGCTTAATGCAACCTTAGTTGCATTAAGAACTGCATAAATTGCCCAATATATATTTACATGACATCTACAAATGAAACCAAAAAAACTACTCAGCAACAACTGAAATGTCCATCTCAAGTCTATGAATAAGAATGAAAAGTAGTTTTCAACTTACAGAAAATGCTATCATTTGCAAATATATTCACATTTGAGAATTTAAGGATGACATGGCCAGAACTCCACAATTCAGTGCAATTTTTTTTAGATATATCTAGCACAGTATCTATGTAGCAGTAAATATATGTTTGTGTGTGTGTGTGTGTGTGTGTGTGTGTGTGTCCAGGCAATCCAAATCCTGCACAAAAGTGAGCTGGAACTTGTGACCTTCATAAACAATGTTCATGCTTTCATTTTGCTAAACTGGGGCCCCGAACAAAGTTAACTATGGCCGGGCCAGTGGGTGAAGAACATCGCGGGGGGGGGAAGCGTGGCAGTTTGCCCCGGGGCAAACTAACACGTGGTAAAGAGATCAGACCTCCCATTGAGGTACCGTGGAGGTTCCGTGGGAAGGGAGAGGAGCTGATCGCAAGACAATTCCGCGCGCAAAAAAGAAGTGCGCGGTGCGGCAAACTGGATGGGTTTTTTGTCGTGTACACCACGACTGCGCATGCTCCGTTGGGTGCTTGTGCGCATCCACAGAGATGTGGGGGGGAAAAAACCTTTTTCGCAAGGGGACATGGGCGGGCGCCGGATGCCTCCGGAAACGCGATTAGACGCCTGCCCTTGCCCCACAGTTACCGGAAACTAGTACCTCCGAGGTACTAGTTTTTTGCTGCGTGTTTTCGACGGGAAGCCTCAGTTGAGCCACGGAAGTGCTACGCTTCCCAGATGTGCCGGTGAGATCGCGCCCGGAAACTCCGCCTGTCTTCCATCGCTCTAGCGTGGCTAATGCTCCGTGTGACCGCAGCCCGGGTCTACAGTGTTTCTTATCATTTATTTTGATTTTTCTAACTACAAGAGGAAAGGGCTATACAAGGCACAGAAAGCTATACCCCAAACACTGGCAATCTCACTCAGTTACTTTTTCTGGCTTCTGAGATTTCAGCAACCATTCAGTACATATTTTCACGTTTATATTTACAGCCATAAGGTGTAGAAACTTTGTTTCCAAAAGCAGGAGACAGAGGAGAGCCAATGCTGCTGGTCCCAACAGAGACACAGTGACCTATGGTTTCCATAGGAAGAGAAGGTATCATGAGACAGCCTAGTCTCACAGGACCAGAAACTGGGGGCCTGCTGTGTGGTATTTAAGCTCTCTCAGACCAAAGCCAAAGAGAATATCAGCTTGCCTGTCTCCCTGATGTCATTGCCCAGAAAGAGAAGGGAGTTAAGTGGTGGGTGGAGGAGTAATTATGTGACCTTGAAGCTCTTCCCTCCCAATTTGAAGCCACCTGCAAAGGGAGAGGGAAGGCTCAGCAGACTCCTTCAACCCCCCCCCCCCAGTGGAAATGCATCTTTTGTAAGCAGGTAGAGAAGAAGACAGCCTTATTTTTACTGTAAGCAGACAGCATTATTTTTACTTCTCCACTCATGATGACACAGTTGTCCAGGGAGTCTTGTAGATAAGTAGGCTCTCCACTCTGCCACTTGGTGTATGTCACACGAGTCCCATCACTCCATTCAAAATACCTCTCAGTCTTCTGGGCATTCAATCCAATCCACAGCATATCTGTTGGATCTTAAGTAGATAAATGCGTAATTAATTTATAACCCAGACCATCTCCCCACAGGGGACTCAGGGCAGTTTACAACATTTTAAAAATACAATTAATAGAAATACAATAAAAATAAATAAACGCAATAAATAAAGCAACAAAACTAATTAAATAACAGCTAGCCAGCTCTCTGTTTCATAAGGCTGCATGAAACAAAGCAGTCTTACGTGCCCTGCCAAATGCTGGAAGATCCCGCAGGGCATGGACTTCCCCAGGGAGCTGATTCCAGAGAGAAAGGGCAACCACTGAAAATGCCCTTGCCCTGGAGGTTGACAAGCAGGAAATTCACAGGCCATGCACTTGTAGAAGACCTTGTGATGATGATCTAAGGGCATGATCATACACACAATTAGACCTGCCATAGGTACGAATGCCGGGCAGATTTAAAGATCGCAATCAGACAACATCTGGGAAGTGCCCTGCAGCCATCGGCAACCCATTCTGCTCTGCCGCAGAAGCGGAGTAAAAAGACACCAGGGAAAATCCAGTCGTAAACAGGTTGCACCGGGCCATGGATGGACTTTCCTGTGTCTGATCACGCCAGTGCACTCTCATGGTGTCAGAATGGTCTGATCAGGCCATCCCGACTCCATTCCATTGTTTTTTCCCCCATCACAGTATGTGCATCATCGCAAACTCCATGGGGAGCCCTCAGTGCAGAGATGCAATTCATCAATTCCTTTTTAAAGTGCATCGGACAAATTCCTTTGAAGGAAATAGCCTTGCTTCCCCCTCATTTTTTCTGGCACGTGTGACTGTGACCTAAGAAAACTATCTGATGAAGGGAGCTTTGACTCTTGAAAGCTTATATCCCCCAAATCTCTTTGGTCTTGCTAAGGTATTACTGGACTCAAATCTAGCTCTCCTATTGCAGACTATTATGGCCACCCTCCTGAAACTATCTTCATGTGTTGAGCAGGATCCTTCAGCATATCCATTGATGCGGAAGGTCATGACAGTGCTGAGAGGCCACTGGGCATGCTTATGTGAAACTAGCATAGCTTATAAAAGGGCGCTGGTGCAAAACTGAGCAATAAAACACTGTGTGAAGAGCTGAACTTTTGCATCATTGTTGCAACTGAGCAGCATTACGGGAATAGCCAGATGCATTCCTTGCATTTGATGTGGTTGAGCTTGAGGGGTAGAATGCATCTTCCCTGCAAAATGTTTTCCCCCAGCCCACTGAAGACCCCAGAAACACTCTTAAGGGTGGCAGAAATAACTGGGGTTTGAAAAGCCAACTCTCAAATGTTATTAACTTTCAAATCCATTCCTGACTCAGCTGTGCTGGTAGGTTTGCCACTGGAATAAGCTATTGCTGTGAATATGTACCTTATTCACATTATGAATCTAGGAAAGTAGATATTTGGAGAAACTTTTTTATATTGTTGGTTCAAGTGAGAAGGAGCCTATGTAACATTTACTGAGTTGTTGTACCAAAAACCTTGTTGTCGGTATAAAACCAGAAGAACACAACACAGTAGGCCTCAAGAGGCCTTGGTTCAAATCCCTACTGTATAAAAATGTTCTTTTATGTATTTGTCTTAATGTTTTCCTTTTTATAATGCCAATAAAGGTAAACTGATTGATAAAAATGTGATACAGACATAGAAGTACTTACTGTAGCCAAGCTGAGAAATGACAAAACTATGCTCTTCAATATTGTGGATACTGGCTAAATCTCCACCTTCCTTTTGACAAGATGATAGTGCACCTTTCCACGACTTGAGGTTTCTTTGAAGGAGGTAACAGTGGCCTGAGTATGGAACCCAGCCATCTGGACATTTCACAGGCTTCAAGTCATCTAAAAAGGGAAGAAGCATATTCAGTGGAAACATATAAAGCTTGGATCCATCTAGAGTTTCTGCAGGTACGAGGGAGCAAATTTCACTGATGCACCCTTCTTACACCCCAAAATATCCCCCCAATGCTGTTTCTGGGAAAGAGGGAAGACCCAAGGAACAGCTTGAGAATTGTGGTTGCCCCATTCAAACCAGAGAAGGGAATTAGCAAATATCCCAACACACACACACACACCGCATCCATGGACATTTTAGGCAGAATGATTGATTACATTATGTGACTGGTTCAATTATTCAATTAAAATATACTGTCAGCACGGATATTTTAAATTACAGTGTAATATTCCATTTGGGGAGGTGACTGTTGCAAATAGAAGTTACCTACCATTATAAAGCAAATATCTCTCTTCTAAGAACTGGTATGTTTTTCTTTAAAGAAATGTACTTTATATCATAAGAGAAGCTGTACATTTCTGAAATTATAAATGTTGCTACATGACGTATGGCATGGGGATCTGCCTGCTGCTCAAGACATAAGATTTCTGGAAATTGAACACCTGTGGGAGTCAGAGCCCAGAGACTAGATACTTTCTTATCTTTTCACTCTGATCTAGGACTGCTCAATAAGATTTTATTTACACTATTTTGCTTAAAAACACCCATTTTGAACCCCTTCCACCTCCACCTTTCAATAAAAGTTATTTGTTTAAGTGTTGTTCAGGGGTTGAATGGGGCATCCACAATTCTTTCTTTTCCTTTCCAGAGCTGATCAGTAGATCTTCAGCAGTCCACAATTCTGACCTTTTTAAGGCTAAAGGGTTACATATGCAATACTGTATTTCTTATCACTCTGGACTTACTTTACTGCTTTAATATAAAATGTATGATCTATACCATATTATACAGAACTGCACTATATTTATAGAATTTGAAAATATACTTTGATTTTCTACAAGAAAAATTGCAAATAGTCTCAGTTCTTGAGGGAGAGAGCTGCTGCCTGCCATACCTTATTCTATCTTATTGCATGTGTATTAGTTTTTGCAATCTGAGAGGTAAGAACAAAATAAACTCTGAAAACATAAACCATCTTTTGTTAGTAAGCAAAAGTGTATTATTTGGACAGAAACACTTTCATACAGTCACAACAGCACTAGCAGAACAAATGTATATTCAGTTAGTATATTGTAGTATACATTATGGCATATTCGTTATGGACAAAAATAGTCACAACCATGAAAATATCTTTTAAAATATGTTGTATATAGTTACACAGGAATGTTCATTATCTAGTACTGTAGATTGTCTTACATAACATTACATTAAAATGATCAAACTACACATGTTCTAATAGCCAACTAATGCCCAATCTGTAGATACTTAAATCTGTGCATCAGGGCCATAAGAACATAGGAGAAGCCAATGTTGGATCAGGCCAATAGCCCATCCAGTCCAACACTCTGTCACACAGTGGCCAAAAATACCAGGTGCCATCAGGAGATCCACCAGTGGGGCCAGGACACTAGAAGACCTCCCACTGTTGCCCCCCCCCAAGCACCAAGAATACAGAGCATCACTTGCCCCAGACTGAGAGTTCCTATCTATACCTTGTGGTTAATAGCCACTGATGGACCTCTGCCCCATATGTTTATCCAATTCCCTCTTGAAGCTGTCCATGCTTGTAACTGCTTTCACCACCTCTTGTGGCAGTGAATTCCATGTGTTAATCACTCTTTGTGATTAGGAGCCAGTTTGGTGTAGTGGTGAAGTGCGCGGACTCTAATCTGGGAGAACCGGGTTTGATTCCCCACTCCTCCACTTGTACCTGGCTGGATGACCTTGTTCAAGCCATAGTTCTGGCACAGCTGTTCTTGAAAAAGAGCAGTTTCTGTCAGAGCTCTCTCAGCCCCACCTACATCAAAGGGTGTCTGTTGGTGGGGGGGGAAGGGAAAGGAGTTTGTAAGCCACTCTGAGACACCTTTGGGTAGTGAAGGGCAGGGTATAAATCCAATCTCTTCTTCTCTTCTTCTTCTTCTTCTTTGGGTGAAGAAGTACTTCCTTTTATTCATTCTAACCCAACTGCTCAGCAATTTCATGGAGTGCCCACGAGTTCTTGTATTGTGAGAAAGGGAGAAAAGTACTTCTTTCTCTACCTGCTCTATCCCATGCATAATCTCGTAAACCTCGATCGTGTCACCCCTCAGGTGTCATTTCTCCAACCCTTTTTTATCATTCTAGTTGCCCATTTCTGCACTTTTCCCAAGGCTATAATATTCTTTCTGACCACATTGAACCCCATTTGCCACATTGACACCCACTCGCCCATCCTTGACAGATGTCCTTGGATTGCCTCACAATCATCCCTGGTTCTCACCACCCTGAACAATTTAGTGTAATTCACAAATTTAGCCACTTCACTGCTTATTCCAAAATCCAAATCATTAACGAACAAGTTAAAAAGCATTGGACCCAGTACTGAGCCCTGCAGTACCCCAATGCTTACCACCCTCCACTGTGAAAATTGCCCATTTATACTCACTCACTGTTTCCTATTAATTAGCCAGTTTTTTATCCATAAGAGGACTTGTCCTTTTATCCCATAACTATTGAGCTTACTTAGGAGCCTTTGATGAGGAGCTTTATCAAAAGCTTTCTGGAAAGTTCCTCATTAAGGCGCCTAAGTAAAGGCCACAGTGACAGAAGATTTTTTGCCAAACTTGGGGGATCCCCAGGTTTGCAGAAAAATCTAAAAACAGCCATAGCCAACCCTCTATAAGCCAGCTCAGTGGTGGGCTAAAAACTGCCAAATGGCAGGGGAAGGATATGGGCACATCAGGTTACATATAGATTGTAAAATACAAATCAATATAGGGTAAAATTAGAGCTATGGCACAGGAAAACAGCATAAAAATCTGCCAGATTCTCTCATTCCATGCCATTTGCCACTGGACAGATCCCTTCAAGAATGTAGGTCCAAAGAATTGTTTTAGATGGCTACTACTGGTACTACCAGTGGTAGGCTGCTGCTATAGTAGTGGTAGTAGTGGTGGTGGTGGTGGTGGTGGTAGAGACAAATACAATAGACTCCTTTGAAGTCAACTCGGAGGCTTCAGTTGGTACTGGATGCCACAGCTGAGTTGTTATCAAGAGCTAGATGGATATGCACCCAAACCGCAGTCATCCCTTTGGTTGCCTGTCAATCATAGGGTTCAATGTAAAGTACTTGTTATCACATAAAAACCCTACATGTCATAGGATCCTGATATCTGCAGGACTCCCTCTCTTGCTATGCCCCAACACAACAGCTTAGCTCATCTGAGCAAAGCCTTTTGAAGGTGTCAGCTGCCCATACACCTGTGTTCTCTGTTGTGGCCCCTGCTTTGTGGAATGGCCAAGCTGGGGAGGACAGAAAAGCTCCCATCATCATGTGAACATTATAAAACAGAATTGCTCTGTGGTGCATTTTTACAAAAGGAGTAGGGCAATAATAGAATGACTCAGGAAGATGATTCTGAAAAGGAAACAGTAGTGCAGTTTATGCCACTGTTAAGGGATATATTATATGTTTATTTGTTTATTGGGTATATTATGCTGCTCTTACTGCATTGTGTTCTAATTTCTGTAATCCCATTCTCTGTATTGTTTGACATATGTCTGATACTTTCATTTGACATATGTTTGATACTTTTGTTGCATTGTTTCAAACTGAGCATATGTGATTCTTTTTTTAAATTGTTGTGAGTTGATCACGTCTGATAGCTGTTTGAATTGTTTCTAGCTGATCATGTCTGATACTTTTTCCATTGCTTGTAATCTTTGTAATCTTATTCCTATTGCACCGTTTATTAGCTATCTCATGCTATTAATACTGTTTGACTGGAATTCGATTCAAAATCTACCTTGAGCCTCAGTGAGAAAGGCAGGGTATAAATACATAAATAAATACTACTTGAAGGCTACCACTTGTACTGCTGGAGGGCACTTTATATCAAAGATTATTTTAAAAACATATACATGATTAGTTCCTGCAGATCTGCTCCACTAGCAATAGTACTTTCCACAGATATGAAAGCCACTTGTATCAATGGAAGGGTCCCTGCACCACAGGAAAAGAAGAAGAAGAAGAAACCTGTGGGACCCATCCTGTATCTTTCATATAGTTCACTTTCAGTTGACCCTACCTGAAGAGATGACTGGGGTGTTTAATGAAGAGTTTTCCTTTTTGCAAATGTATCCAAGTTTATGGCCGCACTCCTTATTCTCCCATTTGCCACTCTGAGACCGCATCGTTGCACAGATTTTCTCTGATTCTGGTGATGGGCTCCCTTAAGAAACAAAGACAGGGATATTCAATGGGCCTTCCTTATATTAACATTGTACCCATTTTTATCATGGCAACAAACAACTGTTTGTCTCATTTGTCAGTTTTATTTCAATTATACATATTGTATGAACTAGAGAATGGGGAAAGGGTGCAGCTGACAATAGTTAAAACACAGTTATGGTAATGATGATTTTTCAATGGGTTGTGCCCAGAGGTCATTTTGGGGGGGATCGCGGGGGATCGCAGTCCTCCCGGGTAAGATACGGGGGCGGGGCACATGATGAAGCCCCACCCCTTGCTTCTGGCCGCCCCGCTTCCGGCCCTCATTCAGCCAGGAGGAGGCAGGAGAAGAGGGAGGGTAAGTTGCTTCCTCCCTGCCTCTCCCCACCCCTGCCTGCCTGGGGCTTCCTTGCACTCCTGCCGGCCTTGCAGGTCCACCGCCGGGCCCCTCATGGGGCTCGTCAGTGGAGCTGCAAGGCCGGCGGCGGCCGGGACCGTTGGGGGCGGGGTGTGTGGCCTTATGACACACTTCCAGTGATGTCAGGGGGTGTGGCATATGCTAATGAGTTATGCTAATGAGTTCCCCTAGCTCTTTTTCTACGAAACGACCCCAATGATTATGGTCAACATGTAGCTACGTTCTGTGGAGGATAGTATTCCTGCCACTTTAAAGGAAATGGTCAATAAATGATCACTCACCTGGAGCCCAATTTAAATATCTGAAAGGATGGTTGCCAGCCCACCGCCATCCACTGTCCATATCCAAACTGTTAAGCCCAATCCAGTAGTCAGTGTTCAGATCAGTTGTTAATCCTATTTAAAGGGAAGAAAAGGAGGAGTAATGCATT